ATGTACACTACAATTCAAAAGTCTGGAATCACTGTTTTCAGTAATATAAAGGCAATTTTGTTGCAGCTAAGAATGTATGAAAAACACCCATTCATGATTTTTGTGATTAGATATACCCCAATGTAACAACTTTAACGATGGGTGGAGGAAAGACGCCGGGGACAGGTGTGACGACGGAGAGCTTTCTTTTATTATTATTTATACACAACGCAAAACTCTCAGCTTTTCAGCCCACAAAGTAAGACAAGATGCTCGCTGGGACTTTTCGTTACTTTTCTTTCTTTCTAGCTTAGCTCAGCTCAGCTGAGCTCTCATGCCTTCACAGGTCTCCTTCTCTCTCTGGGCTCTGCCACCTACTCAGGGAAGATATGACTATAAGTAGGCTGGCAGAAACATGGCACAGGTGAACATCATCAGCTATTTAGCCCGCTGGTTCAGCCTGACCGGCTTCTCTGTCCTGCATTCGACGCTCGGCCACGCCCCCTCCTCCACACCCAACAACCGAAAAGACAAGACCATGAATTGATTTTAAAAAGAAGAATATATTTGAAAATTTACAGAAACATGTAAAGGGAACATAGTAAAATGAATGGAAAATTGGGGAAATTGTGTAAAAAATAAGCAAGTTATGGTTAAGAAGTTTACACAAACGCACACTAACCGCAAACACAGAGGTTTAACTAAAGCAAAAGCGTAAAGACAGAAATCAGTTGGCAAGACACCAACACAGACTTGATCAAAGCAGTTATACATTGATGCAAATTATATGCAAATTAGACAAACTACATATACAATTCCTGTTTAATCTGTACAGATCAAAACTACTATAATGCAGACTTGGATTGGATCAGAAACAAAACTGAACACCGTGTCATTAGTCAGGTTCAGTCAACAAATAGTGTCCCTCATGCACACCCTAATGTCAGCAAGAGTCGCTCTCAGTCAGGTTTAAGACCCTGAAGGTTCCCGATTGGTCACCTTGAGCCAGTTCCAACTCCTGTACCATGTCTGGTAGACTAGATTGGAGATGGGCATAAACAAGTCCTTATCTCATGTCACAATAACTTTCTCAAGGAACAATCACTCTCCAAGCTCTGTGATGTCCATGAAGAGAACAAACATCACACAAACATACTACAAGCATCAGAGAGACACAGAAGCCAAAGAATCTATTCCTAAGTATAAAAAATATATTCTTAAAAAAGCTATTCTATATTTAACGATGAAAAAAAATCTATGTCCCTTCAGATGCTAGCCCTTTAAATAGAACAGTGTCATAGATGAGACTGATTTCTGATTAACATCTAGAAAGTTTTATATTTGAAAAGTGGTAATCAAATCTCTAGACATGTAGCTCATCAGGAAAGTGCTATTAATAGATTGTTACAGTATACATTTTGAATTCAATGTTATTGTTGTTACCAAAACATTGAAACATTGACAAAAATATCTGCTGGTATCCAGTATTCAATCTACAATATCTAAGTTATTTTTGAATAACAGCAATTATTAATATGATGAGCGATTCCTTTTAAATGATAGTGTATCTCTAGAAGCCTCTTATATATTGCATAAAGAGTGGTTGAATTTGTCTGAGTGTTTAATGCCATATACTTTAAGAGATGCTTCAAGAGAGGGGGATGGTGTTTTATAAAGTCCAGTTTCTTTTATTGTGAGATTTTAAAATAGAATTTTTTATAGTCCATTATATAGATATCTTAGTTCTGTTTCATATGACTGTAATAAATACTTTTATAGGACCTTTAGATCAGTGCCACCTGTATGATGAGTAGTCAGAGATGTAATTAATCTGAGTGTGTTTATATGTGCCCTGCAGTGTGGTGTGGGTGTGTTCCCTGTGTCAGGATGTTTTTGATGACACTGACCCATTTAGTCGTGATAGACTGACAGAGCCCTACCTCAATGTGCAGGACCAGAGGGTAAGCCATAAATAATACTCACTACTAGTTACCAGTTTATCAGGTACACCTCCCCTGTATTTGCACTGTAGGCTTAATTACTGACTGTAGCTCTTCTTTTGCTGTGTATCGCACCCCCCCCACCCTGTTCATCAATGGAAAGACAACACCATGCACTGCCACTGTCCAGATATTCGAGTGGTGGAGATGCATGTGTACGGATAGACCCCAAGCAGGGCTTAAGCCTTGCCTTTTTGCCCCATGACTGTGCAATTGCCTTTTTGGCCTGTGTATATAATAACATATTTTAAACGGCCATACTTCAAGATCCATTTCACCAAAAGGAAAAGACTTTGTAGGCCGGCTCAGGTTCCACAAGCTTCATCACTCTTTGGTGCTCCTTCTGTTAAAGTGGCAATAATACACTGTTGATCTGTTTAAGAAGGTGTCGCGGTCCATGATGTGGTTATTAATGTGGACAGTAGGGGGCACTAATTACCAAGTTTTTGTTATTGTAAAATAAAGGGATTTATGCCAGGTTCATAGCCCTTAACTCAAATTATAACTCACTGATTTGTAGTAGTGGGTAATGTTACAGCCTTCTACACTGGAGATTGATTGCCCATCTATATTTATCTACAATCTAGACAGTTGCTCAGAAAGCATTTATACTGTGTGTTTAAACATAAATAAGCTGTACTGTTCATGTAAACATATATAAACTATAGTTTCTAACTAGACATTTGCAGTTGCCCAGAAACTGTCTGTATAGTCCATATAACTACACATAACTCATGCACCCCTGCACTGCTCACTGCTCAGACAGTATTCTGGCATTTCTGGAGAATGTGTGCTTTGCCACTTCTCCAGAAATGGTTAATGAGTATTTGGCTGCCTTTGTTTTCCAGAGGTGTGAGCAGCTCTTGCTCACGTTGATGTGTGAGGAACACAGCTACCTGCTGTACAAAGCAACAAAGGTATGAACTCTCCTATGCAGTTCCATCTACAGCTGGCAGTATATAATCATTTCTATTGCTCAAGTAGTAGAGCTTATTTGCTTTGCATGTGCATGTTTGCCAGACATTATACCGTTGCTCATTGAAAACTAATATGTATTTTAAAATAGTGAATTAATAATGTACCTATTTGCATACCCATAAAGCGTACCGCAGGAAGTGTGGAATTTGATTTTATTCGTGGACGGCTGCTGGGGAAACAGACTCCTCCATACCGCTCTGCAGCTGAACTGGTCTCAGATCTCTGGGCTCTTTTTGACATCTTGTCAGCAAACTCCAAGGTAATTATTTCCAAAACAGGTTCAGCGAATGACAGAGGTGAACAAACTACAAAGCAGGAGTGAAAGTAGAAATAATCTTTGTAAAATATTAATTGAGTAAAAGTATTCTATCTATATTTCTGCTTTACTTAAAGAACAAAAGTGGCTGCAGACATAACCAGCTAACTTAGTTTTTTATGTCTTCAGCCCCAAAGGTTTATGTAATAATAGATATTTTTGGCAATATAATAGAATTGGACATGATGCTAAAGCAAATTGAACATTTTATAATGGTTTCTTATCAATACCAGGTATTCAGTTTAGAAAATCTTTGTGTATGTGTGTGTCTGTCTGTTTATGCAGAGGAGAGACTCAGTCATCAAGCTTCAAAATTCATTCCAAGAGAGACTTGATGTGGCCTTCAGTAAGAGCCTCCATGTATCCCTCCTGAGGCCTCCTGGCAGTGAGGGGCAGAAGAGGGCGCCAGAGACTGAGCTGGAAAAAGACAAGGCCAATAATACTCTTAAGAGGATGAGGGAGTTTTTAGCTGCAAACTCTGCTACAGTATCAAAGAAACCTCGCCCTGAGAGGTCCACAGAGAACTCTCCTATTTCCCAAGTCAACGAAGACTGAAATGTTTGTGTACCTGTAGGTTTACATACATTATCATTTTGTATGATGCATTTTAATCCATTTTGAACCTGTTTTGTATAGATTTTCTGTAACTTTTTGTTTTGACAAGAGTAAAGATGCACTTTATTACTTCAACTGTGTTTTGTGTTCTTGCATTATAAAGCGATCATTAGTCTATACTAGGAAGAGATGCCCAAAAGTATGCTGGCCAGTGAAGTGAAGTGGAGAGAATGCACAATATTTGTAGTGGCATGTTCTCTGTTCTAACCAAACTTACTGTACCCTGTTTTGAGCCACAGTACATTTTGATTCTGTACTGTTATAAGCGGTATCACCATGAAGAGCTTATTATTTATACCGCATGGTGCATGCAACGTGCATAAACATGGACTGAAGGTGGTGCTGTTTTAAATGATTTTCTAGACTTTTTTCTCTTCATGGCATATTTGCCTTTTGTTGCAAACCAGCGCCATGTATATAATTATTACATTTGTGACCATAGATGGCCTAACCAAATACAAATCTGTCACATGCAATCAATGATAATGGTAAGTCCGTATTTAGAATTGCAGTATATTAGTTAAACATCTCAGTCAGGGTCCCCTTAAAGCATTAATCCTGTTTTTCAGTGCTCTGCAGACCTCTAACTGGCATAGACATGCATAGCCTGCTTTAATAAATAGGAACTACTTACATAGCTGAATGACACGTCAAATTAAGGGGCTACCTTTTTGTTTTGTTTCATATCAATGTTTATGTGAAGCAGATTTGTCTGTGAAGGTCTTCAGTCACCCAGGTCTATCAACTGTCTAGTAGAAGCAAATAAGCTGGAATCAAATAATCTTGAAGGACTTTAAAATTTAGACCCCAAGTTCAGACACCTGTATGTGCTGCTCCTGCTAGACGGTTTTACTACTTGTTGTCTTTAGGACTCGAGTCCGTGCTGAATTTGAACCATCTTGACACAAAAGAAAATCACAGCGCCAGTGATCAGGGACTACAGTACCGTCGCTGTGAAACCTTGAGAGCTCTGCTTATCTCCAAGCCCGATGGCAACGGAAACCCACGCGATGCTGATTGGTGGAAAAGCCCGCTCTTCCTTAAGCCCCTCCCTTTCGGGCTATATATAGAGGACGAGCTCGGAGGAGAAACTATTCCTCATCATACTTTTAAGAGTGGTGGTTCTCTTTGCTTAGAAGCTATTTCACTAAAATGGTTGTGCAAGTTAAGTCGAACTCGCACCAGTGCAGCAAAACAATGGATGGAAACCAGCAGAAGGTGGAAGCGAATGTTCTGTTACTTGGAGCAGAAAATGTTGGCAAATCAGGTAAGAATGAAGTGAAGCTGTGGCTTTATTATTATGACTGTATGTGATGTTTTCAGTGTATTCTGAAATTGTGAAATGAACAATGTTTTATTAATATTTATGTTTTTGTTTTTTTTTATCACCAGCTCTCACTGTTCGGTTTCTCACGAGACGATTCATTGGTGAATATGGTGACATTGGTAAGTTTATTTGATCATTTTGAGGTTTTATTCCACATGCCTACATATATTTATCCACTGTGCTTACAAATGTATCATCTTTTACAGAATCAATATACAGTCATATTGACAAGATTGACGGGCGTGAGATCTCCTTCAACATTTGGGACTCCCTGTATCCACAGGTGAGGAGGCCTTCATCTCCATCACACTACAGTCTCCTATACTGAGTGTTAATAATGCTATAGCCTTGGCAGTGCGACCACAGCCTGATTTCATGAATGCTTTTCTTTCTTTCAGAGCTGCGAGACGACTGAGTCGATCAGTGAGAAGCAGCTGCAGTGGGCGGACGGGGTCATCCTGGTCTACAGCATCTGCGACCGCTCAAGCTTCGAGGTGGTGCGCCAGCAGGTGCAGCTCATCCGCCAAATGGGGAAGCTCTCTGCGTCGGTGCCCATCATCATTGTGGGAAACAAGAGGGACCTTCAACACCAGAGAGTCGTGTCGAGCGAAGAGGGCCGGCTGTTCGCCCTGTCTGCTGACTGCAGCTTCTTCGAAATATCTGCAGCAGAGACTTACCACGGCGTCCTCCTGGTCTTCCATGAACTGCTGGAGCTCATCAAAGAGACCAGGGCCCTCAAGAAGGGAGTGGCCGGAATTAAGGGCATTGTGAGGAGCGTGTCGGCTGTCTTCGGGAAGAAACGGGAGTAGAGAGGCTTTTCCTCACGAAGATAATGTTACTGACAGGCTGTGAAAGTCATCCTGGATGGTCCGATGGCAGAATGAATGGCCAGAGAGGACGAGATCTGGGCAAACTGCTGATCTGAGTTTGGGAAGGGAGAGAGGGCCAAGTGTAGAAGTCAGGTTGGACTTTGTAAGTTTAAGGCCCAAGTGAAGGTGCTAGAAAGTTGTTAAAGATGTTTCACATGTTTGCTTGATATGTAGGCTATATGAGCGTTGGTGAGGTGATAGGCCAGATCCTTGGGTAGATGTACAGCCGACAGGGTCCCAAGCAAGGAGAGAAAACAGTCCATGACTACTGTAATCGTACAGTTACAAATCAGCATAGATATGACTTAAGCAAGATATTCAGACTCAGAGTTGCTCTAAGAAGTCTGTACTCTAGGAGGATCCAAGAGGTATATGAACACATTTGTGATTCCAATGAATGTGTGAAGATTTGAAAATTATTTGTACAACCTTGTATTTGTATATATTGAAGAGTTGTGTAAATGGTTGTTGATTTTCTTGTATATCTACCACAAAGATTTCATTCACTGACTGGGTGTCTGGGGTCTATGAGATGTACAGTATACTGTCACTGTTATAGCTTATGGAAAGTACAAGAAACATATAAATAACCATACACTGCTCTGCTCTTATGATTCTCATTGAAAACTAAGCCTAGCACACGTGTGTGAGTTATGGATTTTATTGAAAATAAAATGCTGTAAATTTCATTGTTAGAGAACATGACGCAAATGAAAAATAAATATTTCAAAGAAACTGAGTTTTTTGTTTTGTTTTGCAAGTTAATACAGTGATGAGGGAGTAAGACAATGCACAGAAACATTCACATTTTCACATCTTTATTCCAAATTCAGCATAATAAATTTTGAGTTAGATGTTTTTTTATGAGAAGACATAAATTTTACAAAGTGTATATATGAGGTGATATACATTTACGTTCACAGACAAATATAATACTAGAAATGAGCCAAAAATTGATCCTGCAAATGTAATTAAATCTGACATTCAGTACTGTTCTGCCGCTGAACATGTCTTATTTGTAGCTGTAGCTATTGCAGTGCAGCTCAGGTTTATCTGGGCAAAACAAGTCATAGAACAATACTATACTAAAGCAGCGTAATTAATATCAGAAAAATTAATAGCAAATATGTATGAGACCGTGTGTGTTGGTCAGCTATACCTCCTTCAGGAAGTGAGTAGGATAGCTGACTAATGTGTGATTCAGCTCATCACATACACTCTCATACACTTCCAGACAACTTGCCTACACTCCTACACTTGCTAATCCTCCGTTGGTGTGAGATATTATGGCTGTTGCTAAGCGCCGTACCAGCTCCCCCATGTTAACTCCATGAACTGCCCTTGTATGCCCTTGACTGCCAAAATCTTGAACATTCTCTTGCTTAGATTATACAGGTTCTGTGCATGAATACAGTACATTCTTTTACTAAACAATGATTTGCTCTGTAGCTATATCCACTGTTCAGGTCAGATCTGATCTGAGATCTACAGATTCACTGAAGCTTATCATAATGACTAAATGAATGAACATTGTGATGAAAGCAAAAAAGACGGCACTCCTTCTAATCTTCTCATTACAGCAGGAGAGTGAATTAGTGCAGCGAAGCCAGGTAATTTGTGCATGATTAGTGTTAAAAATCAATTTAATGTGTAATTACAATTAACTTGCTTTCATCCTCAGTCCTACCTCTCCCATGCACTATAAGAGTCTGTACGTTATGCAACATTATGGCATTAAGGTAGAAAATGGGGTATGTATAAAATGATTAGCTCATAGACAGAAGGTAGACACTGTGCCCCACTTCTGTTTAGTTTTAACATTTAACCAATGACAACACGCAAACTGTAGTTTTGCAAAGATTAACAAAGGTACTGTTAAAATGACAGTGAATAGTTGCCAGGCCAGTGTTTGTTTGGCTATTTTAGCTGACTGTCTTAACCTGCCTAGCCAGGTTATTCATTTTCTCTTTTCTTCACACCCCCTTCCTTACACAGAACAAAGATTCACCGAGATGTGGCCCTAGATGAACTTGCTGTGTTTTCTGAACCAGTTAAGTGGGAAAAAAATGCTAGCGTATGATTGTGCTAACTAGTGGAATAATGGGAATGTGGCATGCTTTGTGTAACTGCCAAATTGGACATTTTTCAAGTTGCTTGCAGCTAACCCTTTAATAAACCCACCCCCTTGATTTCTGTTACTACATCTGACAAGCTTTCGAACCTGGCATGCCAACTATGTAATTTTAAATGTCAGGGGTACATGAATTACTCCATTAAATTTTTGCCACTTTTTGGAGCAATGCATCTATTTTTTTTTTTTAGAAAATAATAGACAACAGGTCCTGAATACATTTTTCCCTAATATCACTGGGTCATCTGAATCCACATCATAGCTCTGTATTTGGGCTTGTTCCTGATAACGGAATGACACACGACTTCAGAAATCTATAATGGTAAGAGGACAGAGGCTAGAGCCTGAAGATCACAGTCAAACAGTGAGAAGTCTCATTAAATAGGAATCCATGTAGATGACATTGTTCCAGTACTACAAGGTAAGTAAATGTGATTTTATGCATTTTAAAAGTAACATTTAGTGTGTACGCCCTATTGCATTGTGTTAAAAGCTTCCACTGTTAGCTATAAGATAGCTAACAAACAGTAATAAGACTGTCACTATTCTGTTTTTTTTTGTACACACTTAAAATGATGGTCATTCAAGGGTTCTTTAGTAAAGAAAATGGTTCTACATAGAACCATGAACACTCAAAGAACCCTCGTATGATTAAAGGGTTCTTCAGATTAATGGAGAATGTGCTGTAGATGGTTCTATATAGAACCTTTTGAAAAAAAGGGTTCTACATAGCATCAAAAAGGATTCTTTTATAGTAGATGTCAAGCTGGTAACAATAAAAGAACCCTTTTTGGTGCTATATAGAACATTTTTCTAAAGGGTTCTATACAAAACACATTCTACATCAATCTGAAGAACGCTTTAATGATGCAAAGAGCCCTGTAATCATGCAAAGGGTTCCTTGAGTGTTCATGGTTTCATATAGAACCATTTTCTTTAGTAAAGAACTCTTGAAGGTTTCCTGGCTTAGTTATCATTGCTAAGCTCCAATCGGACAAATGGTTATTTAAGGTCCGTGTTAAGCAAATGCTTAGATTATCATTCTACATATTCATATATTCTTTGAATATTCACTTTTCTTATTGCAATTCACTGGAGTCACTACACATTCACCCATGTGCCTTGTTTCCTGTTTCCACTGGTCTGTCTCAGGGTCATGCTGTAGTAAATTGGTTCACCTAGTTGGTTCTTCATAGCCTAGCAACTGTAACTATGCTTGGGATGCTGCTAAAAAACTTTACAATATGCCGTAGCATATTCATAATTCTGAAAATTTGCCCATTAGTTGTTACAAATTTTTCAATCCAGACAAAAGAAAAGATGTCTAAGATATCAATTAATGTGTGGAAGACCACATTGCCAAACTAGAAAAGAGTATTTCCAGAAAAACAACCAAATATTTTGTTGCCATTGAATCTAGCATAAGTGCCGCTATGGTAAGTGGACAGCCAGCATTGGACCCCCCCGAATACCGGGGGGTATTTCGCACACTTCTTCCAGTTCAGTGTTCATGTAATGTTATCTGGAAACGGGGGCCTAGGCTTAACAGATGGAATTTGAAAGTTTTCTATGCTCTTGTAGTTTTCTGCAATCCCTAAACTCTCTGTTCTACACTTTTCTAATAAATTTCAGGAGACATAAGAGCATATAATTATTCAGTGCTTTACTCGATAGGTGTTTACTGCTCACTGTTGTCCACCACTGGTGTGACCTGGTCATCAGAATAAGAACTAGAGCTCAGGTACTCAAATGCTCTCTGGCTCTGAGTGACAAACTGCATGATGGGAGAAAAGAGCATCTCTCTAGTGGAGGAACGTCGTCGGATCATGTTGGAGGGGGAAAGCGCTGGGGAATCCAGCTCTGGAGATCCTGCTGACAGACTGCCCTTGCGTCCATCAGGTGCCTTGGCCGGGGACTCAACTTCGGCTTCAGTTGGCTCTGGGTCTAGCAGCTGATCTTGGGCCTCAGTTGGTTCTGAATCTGGAACTTCATATGCGGAGGAGTGACGTCGAATCATGTTGGTGAAGGAAATAGCTGGGGCATTCAGCTCCAGAGATCCTGCTGGCTGGCCATCCTTCTTCAGACTGCCCTCGTGTCCATCAGGTGCCTTGGCCTCAACTTGGGCTTCAGTTGGCTCAGGGTCTGGAACTTCATATGCGGAGGAGCGACGCCGAATCATGTTGGTGAAGAAAATAGCTGGGGCATTCAGCTCCAGAGATCCTGCTGGCTGGCCATCCTTCTTCAGACTGCCCTTGCGTCCATCAGGTGCCTCGGCCTCAACTTGGGCTTCAGTTGGCTCAGGGTCTGGGAACTTATCTTGGGCCTCAGTCGGTTCTGAGTCTGGACCCTCATCTTCGGCCTCTATCGAGTCTTGGTCTAGGATTTGGTCTTGAGCCTCAGCTGGGTCTTGGTCTGGGTCTGAGATGGGGTCTTGCTCTGGCATGTCTGGAGCTGGGACTGGGGCAGGGGCTGGAGTAAGGGATGGTGCTGGAGCTGGGACTGGGGTGGAAGCTGTGGCTGGTGATGGTGCTGGAGCTGGGCTAAGAGAAGGAGCTGGATTTGAGGAAGAGCCACTGGAAAAGCTACGGCGATAACGGGCATAAAGGCTTCTGCGGCGACGTGGACGACCGTCCATGGCCTTTAGAAAAAGACTGTTGCCAGAGCTACGACGGGAGGCACCATCAGATAGCTCGAAGTCTGTCACATTCTGGTCTGAAGCTTGCTGAACCTGAAGAATAGATTTATTCTTAAATTCTAGGTGTTTATTTAAAGGGCAAGGTAACATATGGACAGTAACACTGGTCACATGATTGGTCAGTTTTTCAGTCATGTTTGATACTAGACACTTATTATTTGAGATTTGTCGTGATTGAAGTGTCAAGATTGTAAAAGCGCTAAACATCTAGAATTTAACACTTCTAAAAATATTTTTTAACATTATTAAATAAATGAGGGAATATTTTATTCATGTAAATGTTGTGGTTATAGATATGAGTGAAAATGTGCATTTTTGTATGAAAGAATTACTAGGTAATAAGAAGAGAACAATGAAATTGGTGCTTGCTGGTGGTACAAAACAAACTGTTTTCTGTGACAAAAATATGAGACAGATTTAAAAAAGAAAGCAGTTTTAGGACTTGATTGAGTCTCTGCAGATGACTCGATCTGAAAACAATTTCACTGCGCAAGTATAGCTGCAATTTGAAAAGAAAAAAAGCAATATAAAGAGCTAGAGGTGCATACGAACAATCATCTTTCTGGGAACAGAGAGTGAAGTAAAGACAAGAAGATTATCATTCATCCAGTACAGTATAATGTTGTGCTTAAATTAGAATGCATTAAAAAAAAGTGTCAGAAGGACACAAAATCAACAACAGATTCAAATTGCACTAAAAATGAATGGACCTTTACCTGGTGTTAATTGGTTTTTAATGGAAAATAAAGATATTAGAGCCTTTATTTGACTATAAAATTATAACAGTGCTACTCTTAGCTCTTAGAGTGACTGTACAGCATAAACTTTTTAAAATGGTCTTTTTTACTTTTCATGTTTTGGGAGTTCAGTGATACATTTTCAGCAAAGGATGCCAATTATGCAGTTGTCCTATCTGAAGCTCTGATAACATGCCTTACATAAAAACACACTTACATAGAAACACACTGGCACAGTATCAGATAGGGTTTACACTTCATCCTCATTTAATCGTTTATCCTCATTTAATAGTTCACACTTATAATCCACTTCATCACTGTGTAAAAATGCATTAATAATAATAATGAATGATATCAAAAGTCTAATTGAATTACATTGTGGTGAAATTTAATGATGCAGTGAATCGTTTTAAATAGAATAGTGATCAAATTGTTGCAGGATCGGAAATGAACACCTTTAGGGTGTAGGCTTTAGTCATGCTTGTATGTGTTTTCTCTCACCAGGTCATACAGTGGCGTGGTGTTGATGAGGAGCTGGATGAGAATCTGGCCCAGCTCCAGTAGTTCATCCATGACAGAGTGCACCTGAGCAGGCAGGGTCAGTAGCTGTTGGACGGGCGGCAGCTCTTTCAGCACCTTCACAGCCTCGCTGAACTGACCTACCAACAGTGAGCCCAGGACCTCTACGCGCTGCACCTGAGCTGTGTACAGCGACAGCAGCAGCTGCAGCAGCGACCACACACCCTCCAGTAGCCCAGTCAGCCCCACCTGTCCAATAATGACCACACAAGTGAGCACAAGACACTAAGGCAAGAGACTGGTAACCTAAAAAAGACCAGTACAGCATGAGAAAGAGAATGCCCAAATGCTAGTGTGACAAGTTAAATGTTTTTTGTAATTGTTTCTGTGCTTAAAACCCAATTTTTAAATCTGTTTCTGGTCATCCACCAACTGTATGTCTGCATGCGGATGAGCACTGTTTCAAAAACGTGAGTGAGGTTAGTGTATGCTTCAAAGGGTTTGCAGGGGAACACACTAAATGTTCTGTCCAAGTAAATCATGAAGCAAGAGATCCTGTAATTGCTGTGGCTTCCACTGTTAGTGTTCATCAGTCATAACAGCACACACAAAAGAGACAGTGCTGTTTTCACCGGCATGCTGTCCCAAATATGTCCATCTTTCTCTCACTCTCTCTGTCTTTGTCTCTGTCTCTCTTTCTCTCTCTTTCTGTCTGTCTGTCTCTCTCTTTCCATCCCCCTTTTTGTTATTGTTCATTCTTCTTGTCCTCTAGTTGAAAAGGGCACACTGTGCCCTGTGCATTTCTTCCCATGGCCCATACCCAGACCAAAACATTCTCAGGTTTCTCTTTCAGAATGAGGCCTGGCAGAGCCCAAATCTCACTCAGACTCATTATTATAAATGTACAGTACAGTAATCAGTACTGGCAGTTACTGTAGCTCACCATTAAAACCACTGTCAGGGATTTTGGAGCAACAAAGTGACAGCCCTGGAAAAAGTTGAAAGGAGTTTTGGGCTTGTACAGCTACAATCAATCGTATGGCTCTGAGCTTGGATCTCGCAATGCAAGAGCCAACAGAGAGAATGACATGAAGGTGGGGAGATTACAGACAAATCTGGTTTATGACTGTAAAAATAAGCAATAAGGCGTCTTAAGAGTTTTAACATGTTTTATGCTCACTGTGTATACAGATTATAGTGCAAAGTAAAATTATTGATTTGTATTGACGTTATCAGTCCAGATTCCATGTTAGTGTATCCCTAAAAATCATTTCAGTGTTCATATAATTTGTAATGAGCATTTTTCAAAAGTTCAAACATTTCCTTATAGCTTCCGTCTCTAGCAAAAGATCGTTTGCCAAAAACTCAAGCTGTCAACATAGTCCAAAATTCCAAAGCCAGCCAAGCCATCACGTGGCCTTGGAGGGAGCCCAGTCGGGCCCGGAGCCAGGCAACGTGAGTGTGAGAGGAGACAACTGCACAGAGGAACTGGAGGCCAGTTTGGCAAACTTGGGTACTCACTGCTGATGCTGAACCACCCTTCCCAGCTCAGCCCCATTAGTTTTGGGGAGAGGAAAGTGGGTCGGCCAAATGTGGGGGGAGATCCTGCTGGGTTGTTCTCTCTCCCAGGGCCAATGGACCCTTGATGGGGGGTACAGTCTGGACAAGGACACTGACAAAGCAAAACAGGGACCAGCCATATCACTAGTTGTGTGAGTCTGGAGGCAATGCAAACACATTCTCACAAACTAATAAGTCGACCGATGCATGCTAACCCATGGGCACTTGCTATGTACCTGGAGAGGCCCACACAGTGAGGGAAACACACACTCACGTTCCTGCCCTTAATTCCAGTCTCTCTGGGGTGTCTGCTGGTTTTACTAATGAGCGCTGTGTGCAGTGGAAGAGAACAGAAGTAGCAGCAGTGCTCCCAGGCTCACAGCCCCAATTACTGACTGCCCCACTGCTGGGAAAACTCCAACCTGCCTCTGCAGGACACAATATGGACACATAAGGCTCCACGCCTTTCGACCCCTATCCAAATCACTAACCTGCCCATGCACACCATGCTGAGATCTGCCACGTTTCAACAGGCCACCTCAGAGCTTTTTTTTTCGCCTTAGGGAACGTAGGGAGCTCATAAAACTGCAATGCACAATTGTGTTTCATGTTTCACTAATTGCAAATGGCAGCTGACAAAAAAAATAAACATTAAGGTCAAAAGCAAAGTCAGTTATTCCGAGGGACACAGGCTTTATCACAGCTCCTACTCAGAATGGGCATCTAAATATTGATTGTGTAAGCCTCTACAGTTAAGTAAACAGCTGTTGTACAACCCAGTCCTCACGTAGCACTGCTAATCTGATAAATCAGCATGTTTCCACCTACTGCTCTCCTGAATCTGGTAATCAAAGGCAGCAGGCCCCATGGAAAGAGTAATCAAGTGTTCTCTTGTGCACCTGGTAGCTACAGCTTGTATTCTGCAACAAATATTATGCTTTGCCCAACACTTTTAACATTTAATTTATTACCTCTGAAAATGACAACATTATCTTATCTGACAAGTTTGCTTCACAGGCCACAGAATAAGAATTAGTTTAGACAAAGCCAAAACATTAGTAATGTTTTCAGTGGCAATTTGTTCAGGGACCTTTCACCAACTTATAGCTAGTCATGTTCCTTGTACTGTACATGCTGTCTAGGGTGGTGGCTTTCTCCTGGAGAAAACTGAAAATTTTCCCCCTCAGAAAATGACTCCTCCGTGTGCTATCTCAACATCTCGGTACTCTGCAGATCTGTGTCTTGGCAATGTGGGTGGCGCAGAAAGCTCAGAGCTGCACGTAGCTGCATGTCCCATGGGGTGTCCCCGTTTATTCAACGCTGTCCTTAGCCTAAACAATCTCTCATGCTGCCCAAACACATGGCATAGTCTGGCACAGAGGGTGGATATGTCTAGGGAGAATCAAAAAGCCACAACTTTTTGTTTCTTTCTGTTCACTAAATAGAGCAGAGGGGGGGGGGGCATTTTCTGGGGCAAAGTGCATCTCAACCCCTGACGACAGTGATATGCAAAAAAACAAACCAAAATAATTTACAATAAAGCCATTAACTATCCTGTACTGAGATTGAAAACACATGATAAGTTTCAAATAGGTACTTTAGAGATACTGTTGAAAGTGTTGTCTTTGTCTCTCGGCAGTGCTAGAACATGGACACTTCTTTAGGCTCGTCTTAGAAAGTTATTGCACCTATTACACATGGCATTTTTAAAAAATACAGTACTAAAAGCCTCAAACGCTAGTTAACCTTCCAGTCCGGTGGAAAGTATCTAGCTAACACATTTCAAATATAATATTTAAGTAAATTGTGTTCACCTCAATAAAAGTAAAAAAATGCTTTTTACACAGGTAGTGACAATTTCATATTTCATGATAGTTCAGATTCTTCCTTTAATATTACTATACTTGGTAATTTAATGTTACAGCAGACTTCTGATTTCTGATAAACCTGAACTATCTTAAAAGGCAGGCTTTATTTAAATTTCAATCCAGTTTTATGATTGAAAGTCACATATTTATTCATTCAGCACATCCTTTTTTTTATTATTTATGAACACAGCTGGCAAATTGCAAAACTGAAGTTGAAATCAAACAAAATCACAGATTTTTACATGGGAAAAAAATGGAGAAACCCACAGGGCTTTATTTTAGGCCAACCTTGCCTGGACCTAAAGTGCATCTGTGCATGTAGGATGTGTCTGTGAGACAGGTGAGTGTGTTTTCATTAACAAACGCCCAGCCACAGACTGTAGCATGGCCTGTGGCGACAGTGTGACATGTAATTGCTGACTTTGTCCGACGTGCGATGTGCATGAACTCATGGTACCTTATCTCCTCGTCACTGAGAGAGTCTCAGGAGGCCTGGACAAGAACGCATAATTACAGCGAATCGTGCACAGACAGCATGAGCCTCTGATGCTGCACTCAAACAGGAAAGCAAAGGAATACCCAGGGCACTTTGAGCAGCTGGAGCATGGTGGAGGGCACGTAGCGCCTTCTATTTTTACCCTCAAAAAAGGGAGATGGCAAAAAGATGTTTTGGGTGTGGGATCTTGGAACTAGTGTGTGTTTATATACACATATATATATGTGTGTGTGTGTGTGTGTGTGTGTGTGTGTATGTGTGTGTGTACATAATGAAACCTCCAGCTACCTTTACAATTTGCTAAAATTTCATGATGAGATCTGTGTGTGTGTGTGTGTGTGTGTGTGTGTGCACCTACACATGTCTATATATTGCACATGTAGGCAGTAATCTGCACCAATTATTTATCCATTTAATGTGTGATGTAATTAGTAAAAAATATGCATCAATTCTAGTTTCTGATAGAGATCAGGCCATTATACCATCAAGTAATGCAAATTTCCATATCAGTGAGTTTATTTTCTTATATGCACTCAACTCTTTCATCTTTAAAAACAGCAGAGCTTTTGAAGTCTGATAAATCATTTGATACACAAATGGTCAAATAAAGTTAATGTGGAACTGTGGAAAATCCAGACAAAATTATTTTCCTAAACGATTAGTGTCTTTTCTCAGAAAGTTGACACAAAAGAGCCTTCTGAAGTGCTCTTGGTCACTTAAAGTGTTGTCTGAAGTACGCTAAAAGGAACTTTCTTCAACAAACCACAAAAGCGTGACCTTGTCCATAATGAGCCATGGCCAAACAGCAACTAGGCTGTAAAACCGGTCTCTGTGGAAAAAGAACCCTAACCTCAATCAGAAGGTTGCCTAATAAATGTGTTCACAGTCTAACAACAAACTAATTGTACATCCCATTTGTTTATTATGCTCATTCATTGAGAGTGAGTTGTTATCATCCAGTGCATACACCAGTGGTGTGAAAAGACCTGTCAGTCAAACCTTTTTCCCAACATTCATGATGGACATCACCAAGCAGATTTGAGACAATCTATATCTACATCTAGATGTTCTACCAGAACCTAAGACATAGTGAATACTTAGCTTACAGGTAGAAGGGAAAATACTGACCCACTGCTAATTATTCAATAACTATTATGAATTGTTTTGGAAATATTATGAAACTACTATGTACATTATTAAGCTATAAGAGTGAGAAACGTCAGTATAGACCACATATAGCCACTCTAGGTCAAAGGGCTCAATGCTCTTGGGCATGGTTCTCAATCCTGGTCCTGGAGGCCCCCTGCTCTGCACGTTATATTGATGTTAACCCTGCTCTCAACACTTCGGATTCAACTAATCAGCTAATCAGCAACCCCTCTCTGAGCTGAAGTGGGTGTGTTAGACCAGGGAAAACAGTAAAATGCGCAGAGCCAGGGCCTTCAAGACCAGGGCTTAGAACCAATTGTCTAGGGCAGGGATTGTGATTAGTCTGTGAGTAGGTGGGTGAGTGGCCTACCACGTCAGCAGCCTCTCCGAGAAACTCCAAGACACTGTCCACTCTCTCCTTCAGCTGCAGAAACCTGTGGTACATCTGAAGATACAGATAAAACAGCAGACTGCGAATACGTGTCCACATACGTGGCTCGCCATCGTCATCATCATCGTCCTCATTCCCATCCTCATCTTCATAGCTCTGCACTCTGATTTCCCAGTCACGCCCTAGAGGACAAACAGTCCGTCAGCTGTGATTGATAGTATACAGTATCCCTGCACATAATAGCCTGCTCGTCATTTATAAAATTTTCAATATTTAGTTTCTTTTATCAAGTTTTACAATGGCTTGTTTACAAGGTTGTGTATCACAATACGTCCAAATGATGAGAAGGTTTGAAGCGAAATTTCATAGATTTTTCTAAATTCCTGAATAAGTTCAGTTTATCTCAGTTGCTTGGTATTTTTGTCCATTCGGAAACCATATTTTCAAAACAGTTAACACATTACACTAAACAGAAGCTTGCTGGCCACCATAACTCTTTTTCTTTGCAAAATGGTCAAACCTCCACAAAACACTAAATACATGACACAAAAGAAAACGTCTCCATCCAACACTACAACTTACAATCAACTTACAGTAGATTCCTTTAATCAGTCAGTAAACACTGATAAACACAAAATACCAATTTCACAGGTTTCAGCCTTCATTAGTGCTGCATATCAGTGCTGTACTATCTGCTATCTGGAAAACAGATTTATAATGTGTCAGAGTGTAAGAGTATCACAATGTGAAATCTGTTCGTCTCCTGGGTTTACCAGGGATACATTTCAATGCAATGTACTGCATAAAAAAAAAAAAATCATCAGAAACAATGTATTTACTCCTTGTACCTTTTTTCTGTACTCTTGAAACAAAAGCGAGAGTGGTGAAGGGCAACACAGTCCAAAATTATGCCAAATCTTACGCCTGAGTATACTTCAGCCCAGGGTTAGACTGCATCAGAGGGGCCCAAAGATGAGCATATATACATATCTTACTGTGCTGAAATTGTCAGTAAAATTCAGACAAAACAGTAATAGATCAGATCATCAACCATGGCTTGTCCATGATAACCACGGAGGGTCCAATCTGTTGACACTGTAGTACTCATTGTACAATTACAAAAATCCCAAAATGTAAGTCTTTTTATGAATCTATTACACATCCCTCCACTGACAAACTCTCCAGCCTCCTGTTTGTCATCATTTGGAACAAAGCTGCTTTCTACTATTCTCACCTATTTTCAATGAGTATTAAGAAAAGCAAACAGCAGATACAAATGTTTCTGAATATGTTTTTTTTTTGTGCAGTAAATTGACTTGAAATGTGTCTGTAACATTAAACTGTCACTATATGTTTTCCTTTTGTTTTACACAGCTATTCAATGAACTAGTGTTTGTGTATAAGATCTGTGTTAATTGTTCTGTAAAAGTATGTAAAAATGACCGAATGCAATGAGAATGTGTTCCACATTTGCAAAAGGACTTTTGTTTTGCGAGCAAAGTGACCGGGAAGATTAAATCAATCCCAGTTTCATTAAATCTGTTTTAGTGATCAAAAAAAGCTGTAAATAAGTGTAAACAAGTCATTCAGAATGATCTGATGTGAATTCCAGAGAAACTTTCTGAGTCTAATTGTTCTCAGTGGTGTTCACAGGAATCCAAAGCGTTTAATGCCTCCAAAAGCTAGCTCACAGAAAGCTAATACATGAAATGGTTATTATACGTTGCCTGATGCCAGAAAACATTGTTTTCCAACAATTCTGAGATAAAAACCAAATATTTGCATTGTAGACATTGCAGCTCTGAATGACATTTACATCTCAGTGATGGAACTATGCATATAATTAGAAAAATCAGTGAAATTCTCCTTTAATGAAAGTCCATTAGTAACTCAGTATGCCTGATTAAAATGTGTAATTTTATCAGAGGCTTCAGTGCTCCCACCAGCACCTCCTCTTATTCACTTCCCACACACATGCACACTCAATCACATACTCTCTCTCTCTTTCACACACATTCACTCACACTGTCAATTTTCATCAGTTCAACTCACACTACCTCTGCTCTGACGCACAACAACAAAGCTCCTTTTGTCAGGAGCCGGAGCTAAATGGTAACACTAAGAGTTAAAACTAAGTGTTAAGTCACAAAGGAGAAACTGATGTCGACTGTGTTTGTGTTGAGCTACATCATGTTGCTATTGTTGTAATAGCTGTTCAAGTGTCAAAGAACCCTACAAAGACTTTCCTGCTTTTCCTATTCCATTTATATTCTATTCTATTTCCATTCAAATTGAATGTTTTGTAACAGAAGCAAAGTTGGTATTACCATCTCATTAAGAGTCTTTTTTCTCTTTTTCCTGGTGATTACACCCCTGTGTACACTGATTAGCTCTCTTGTTAAATACTATCTATCTTGGAATATCAATAGCTGAGAGATGAGTTGAAAAGTTTTGGCCTTTCAATAAAATATCACTGAAAGGTTATTACAGTTTTTCTGTACCTGTAAAACACATTTAACAAAGTGCACTTCTGCAAATGTGTGAAACATTCAAGGGTTTTGTATATTTGTGCAAAGAACAAAAGAAAAACATTTACTCACAGCTTACAGAAAATACTGTCAGAGTTATAAGTACTATCAGCACCTGTGTAAACTACATAATGCACAAATGCTAACTCAGCAGTCATCATCAGCTGTTAATGTAAGCATCTAGAATTTTTAGACAAGTGTGATCAGATGAGAAATAGGTAGTAGATAAGACTGTCATTATACAAAACTGATTTCCCTCTCTCTATCTCTCTTTATGATGGCTTGCTGGTTTATTTCTGTCTTTCTTTCTTTTTTGCCTTAGTTAAGCCTTTACATGTGAGGTTATGTGCGTTTCTGCAATCTATTGTGATGAATTTCCTCTACTGGTTTTAATCATGTTTCCTTTTTATGTTCCTGTAATTTTGAAAATCACTTTTTTTCTTAAATTCTTTCTATTCAAATTCCGATTTCTGCTCTTCTAATTTTACTTTTTGCTGTATATCACATTATAGAACTTATTTCTTGGTATTTTTATACGTCTAAATCTTTCTCTTAGTCTAGCTGTGGTAAATCACCCAACGGCATCGTAAGGACAGAGGATCTCTGACTTTAGATAAGAACTCAGAGATGCTTCAAACAGGGCAACGCATTTTGTTTTTAAAAGCTGCACTGCTGCGATCAACGGCATATCACCAACAGAACATTTGCCCCCTCTTGTGGTGAAGGATGCAAGACACTACATTTGAGGTTGGAAAGAGCATGGATAGAGACAAATCTGGATGGAAAGATTCATATCACACATATATACAGCTGTGTGTCTGACTTACTCAGTGTGGGTGGCAGCGGTAGGTAGTAGGCCACAGCCTCCTCAGAGCGAGTGAGCAGCTCATCAAGGCCTGAGGTGAGCACTTGGCCTGCTGCTGAAGCTTGAGCTGCCTCCAACACATCCCAGGTGAATTTCAGCACCCTTTGCCACCGGTCTACCATGTCATCCAGTTCCACATTCACACGATACTGCGCATCCTCCAGCCTTAGAAAAAAACTCTCCTTCACGTACTCAAGCACCTGAGTGGGGAAAATGAAGGCTTATATTAGGATTATACCAGCTACAGAACAACTATCAAACAGACAATGAAAATATCCTTCTAGATATTTTATATGATTTTATATAATAATCATCATAAGCAAATTATCAGTACGGCACATCATAAATTCCTGGAACCATAAGTCTCTTTATAACTCTATTAGTACTCTTATTTACTAATATCATGGATTCAGGGCACACACAAGGAACATGGGTGTGCAGAGGCTTCTTCAGTCATCATATTTAGTGAAAATGACCTCCGAAAATAACTTGAGTTATTTTTTTCAGTGAGGCCAAAACTCCTAAAATTAAAGGCGCAAGAGGATGCAAAAGTGATTATTTGCCACAGTGCCACAAAAGAACCACATTTGGTTCCCTTTTACTTTTCTGAGACACACATCTACACAGTGCTGGCCTTGTGAGCCAGACATATGACGATGTTTAGAGAGCCTGGTCGATTTTGACAGTGAGGCATCATTTGACACATGCAACCTACCTAACACAGACTGCGCCACAACAGTGCTACAACAAGAAAAGACCTTTGGGAAACAAAGTAGACAACCAGTTGGCAAGCATGAGATACTTTGTTTACCTGCTACTAAATGGTTTAAACAAAATCTCTTAAACTTTTATAGACAGGATGTTGTGTTTTTTTCAGTCCAGCTACAAATCTTACTCAGAAAGGCTCACTGTGGATCATAATGTGCAGAGCAGGCAACTGTTTGGCTGATCGAGTGTGTACAGCTAGCCCTGAATGCATGATCAAAAGATGTGCAGACGTGTGAGGGTAAAGAGCCTGTTTAAAGTTTAATCCTCTTGGGTTAAATTGACCTGTTTCAAAGTTTTAAAATACAGGAAAATATTTTTTAATAATTTTTGGAGTATGAAACCTTTTCTGCTGGACTTATGGCTCATTTAGCATGATTTGAAATGAAAGGGTCAATCTGACGTGGAACAGAAGAGATGTTTTGTTTGAACTGATCAACAAGCCCCCATGAGAGAAAACATGTCAAAAATGTTGAAAAAGCCTAAACAAGAATAAATGTATCGAATGTCTAGATTTTGCCAATTTTTTAATGTAAAACAAGTGAATTATTGTAAGTAAACCATGATCTGTATGGGTAGAAAAACTTGATTACTTTATATATTGATTAAATTGCTATTAACCAAGCTAAAGATAATGTTTATGGAGAAAAATATATTTTTTAACTACTTTCAGAAGGTTAAACATGCATTGGGTCAGTTTGGCCTAGGAACATTATTATTGCAATCCTTATAGTTGAACAAAGCAGCAGGGTTAAAGAACCTCTTTTCCACCACAACAGAACATACAGATCATAGATTTATGCACACAAACCAAAAAAAAAAACTTTTAAGAATCTTTATTTTTAGAGCATAGGTTTTTCCCTAGGATAGAGATTCTCACCTCATCTGCTGACTGATGAAAGATGGGAAATGTTTTCTCCAGCTGCTCCAAACCAACAACAGCATAACCGTTCACAGTTTCAACTACGGATAAGAAGAAGGGTGAAACATATGAGTTTCATTAGAGCATGTTGACACACTGCAGTCAGGGCAGAAACAGAACAGCAGAAGAAACTTTAAAACAAAAATTGACAACACGGCATTAGCTTCTACGAAAATAAGAAGCTGAAATCAACAGTCAGACAAGTTCAGTGATGTGTTTCTGAGTGAAATTAGGGGAGGGTCTCTGAGCGAGCTGAGCATTTTGTTCAATGATAGGTGGGGTAGTGGAAGGTGGAGGCGAAATGTGAAATTATTGGTGAATATTATTTTGCACTGCCTTCTACTGCACAGAGATATAATCAAACATCAGAAGATGGTTTAGAGATGGGTAAGAGCCATTACATTTTGATGGAAGATTACAGAAAAACAAGAACTTTGTCTTTCAAATATGACAGGGCTTCCCAATCCCAGACCTGGTGACCTCATTGCACACTTGATTCAAATCATTACTAATGAACAAGCTCCTCATGGTCTGGGTCAGTTGCATAGAGCATGGGGTCACCAGGACTGGAATTGGGAACCCCTGAACTACGATATGATGAAATACGCTTAATATGATAAGGAACATGAACTAACAAAGAAAACTGATTTCAGATAGACTTTAAACAAAGTTACTCTGCATAATTGTAAGGCTCACTTTAATGACAGACTTGCCAGCATAATTTGATCATTCTGTGACCATTATGGCATTATATATATTATATATTATTATTATATAAGTGTTACAGGTTCCACATTAACCTGAAAAGACTGAATAGACTGACAATATGTCTGCAAATTGTGATGGAAAGATAAGATGAACTAAAACCACAGTTCATTCAGGTCTCTTTTCAAAACATTCATGAACATAATTCCACCTGACATCAAAAATAATAACAGGGATAAGCTAAAGTGCCCCAAAATGGCTTTGTGTGGAGCTGTTTACGTTATAGTGGCTTCAGTGTGTGCTCACTCTCAGGCTCCAGACGCTGTAGAAGGGGTGCTGCCCACTGACTGGCTGCCATGGAAATGCTGCGGACACTCAGCTCTGTCATACCACCTACTATGCCCAAAAGTGGGTAACGGTGCTTGGCCCCCACGTAGATGCCTGTGACCATCTGCAGACTGGAACTGACCAGTGGTAGCTTCACCACTCGCCTCAGCGCACTTCCCTGGACACAAAGAGATTGCAGGTTGTACATTACACAACATAAATATGCTGCATTTACAGTAGAGGACTTCTGTGGCTGTGCAAAACACTCTTCTCTACACATAGACACGCTCAGTGGTCTTAGACTTCTTTGAGAAGCTTAGAATTCTAAACTTGAGCAGCTATGATTTTTGGATGCTCACCTCGCTGTTCTTTGTTTCTGACATCTCTCAGCCTCTGGGGAGGTAAAAGAGAGGAGACGAGACAAAACAGGAGCTTTGTATTAATTCCAGACATTTCAAGAGTTCATGAACTCACAAGCTAAGAGCCGTTTCCACCCTTCCTCAATTTTTGCATCCTGCGCATGAGGCAGTCAGCTGCCAGTGGGTCACAATACCAGTCTATGTTCTACCCACACACTGTGGAAATCTAGTTAAGTATTTAACACCACAATCTTCACACTTCGTCCAGTCCCCCAGCCGCTGGTAGCTAAGGGCAAGTCTGAGAGGGGAAAAAACATTATATCAGACTGCTCAATGTCTTGTATAATTGTTAGAAGCCCTTTAGTTGACTAGATAATCAAGTAAACCAATACGGTTATTAGAGATTATGTTGTCACTCAAAACGAAAGTCAGCTCTGTCAAATCTAATTAAAACATGCAGAGAGAGAGTTCTGTTTACTCTCTCTGACAGAAGAGATCTCTAGAGGTCAGTGCTATCTGTTTAAAATGTAAATATTACGATTAGATTTTATTGGATTCCACTAACCAAAAAAAGAATCAATTTTTTAGCTCTGGTCAGTTAAACAGTTAAATAATCCATCAGGTTTGTGTTTTACACTGAAGTTTGGATAATATTGCAATTTCAGCAAAACTTCAAAACATTTTGTTGATCTAATGTTAACAATACATAGAGAAGTGATCTCCCTGTCTTTTCAGCAACTGGTGGTGACCAGGCAGTTTTGCGAAACAGTGTTGTGAAAGAGAGGTGGGGAGCTCTGGAAAATCACAGTGGTGATTTTCCAGCTCAAGCACATTAATTAATCAATTAACTACCAGGTTTAGTTACTGTGCTACAGTCTTTAAAAATATGGTTCTTTCACTCCTTTGTAAAATATAAGTGACTATGTAGTTTTAAGATGGGGTTTAATATGTAGGTCTTTAGGTCATTGATTAAAACTGAAATTCACAGCATGGTGGCATAATAGGACGAAAAGAAGGAGAAGCTGATAGTCATAGTACATGATAGTCATGAGCTACATATTTACTGTCCTGGCATAAAAAGAGGGGGGAAAAGGAAAGTTGTTTTTGAATCTTGCTGAATGAGTCAAGCAACGTTCTCTCATTATTGGCACTCAGAATTCACTGTGACATTCTGCAGATATACGATAATCACAGCACTGATATTTTTCAGATTAAGCAAGTAGGTCATGGGTGCAGAGCTCATCACTGATGAAGATCCACACATCTTCTCTGCTATAATCTTAAACAGAGTACATCTGTTTGACACACTAGAACAACCGTTATATAATGTTAAAGCTTTATATAAATAATGTTTAATGTTGAAGTGCTGATTTGAAAAGTTCACCCTTGGTTTTTAATTACTTAAGGATCAACTGAATGTAGAGCAGCTTGGGCATAGATTTTTTTGTAATATGGAATTTACATAGCTCTGTTTTTCAGATGCTCCTCTAGGCTTTGACTGGCTGGGTTGGTATGTTAAATTAGGCCTTAAGCTTTGCAGGACAGCAGATCTCCAAGAACAGAATGCAGATTTCTTGTCACACTTCAGAGTTCATATCACAGCATATGGACAACTGTCATTTAACCAGTGTGGTAAGACAAGGGGATGAGCACTGAACACCACCTCCTGTGCAACTCAAAATCAAACTTACAAAGATTAATTAAGATTCATTTTCAGCTAGTGAAGTGGTTAACAGGTCAGCCCAAATGAGATTATCATTCATTTTGCAGAACTTAATATGCTTAATAAAATATTATAGTAATATTAAAGTATCAAAGAAGTTTCAAAGATGACATTATAACATGCGTTTAAAGAGATATATGGGTCAGTCAGTAATGACATATTTTCGATTTAATTTTTCTCATGAGCCCATCACACATCCACTGAACAGCTACAGTAACATTCATCAAGTTATTTTTAATTGATTAGTTCTTACCTGTTAGTGGACTGGAGCAGTTACTGTCCTTAAAAAATCAAAAACGTATATTTAGACAGTATCTTTGGTGGTTTAGTTTAGGCCTCTGTCTGCAGGATTGCTTCTCCTCTCTCTTTCTTGCTCCAGCCCCTTTAAAGCCTCCTGTTGGGTAGCAGCTGTGAAATCCAGCTCTACTGGATGGGTTTGCCATTTCCACGCTAGAAGTACACATGATGCCCTCATATGCGGGTGCGGCTGATACATGCGTAAATTGTCATTCCAAAATCGTTTTTTAGATCACTGTAAAAAAGCAATTAATGAAGTGCACTGTTGCTTACATATACATCAAGAGAACAGTACATGAACATACAGTGGGATACAAAAGTCTGACAGCACATTGAAAATCTGGAGAAATAGTGAGGATTCTGTGCTGTTCCTAAATCACTATTTAAATTCAAGGAAATTCTGAAATTCATGTTAATGTTTCAAAGATTTTACTTTTGACTAAAATTGTAATGCTGATAATATAATTTGTAATTAAAACTTTTATATTAAATTAGAAAACAATGAAAAAATACAAACATTTTGATGAACAGTCTCAGATTTTTGGGCCCCACTCTAGGTATTTGATGCTGTCAGTATTACACCTTTCTGCAGTATATTAGTATATTGCTGAATGGTGTATTTATTAGTATAGGTGTGTATGTATTAGCATAGGTATGTATATTAGTATGCTGCTGAATGGTGTATGCATTAGTATAGGTGTGTGTATTAGTATACTGTTGCATGGTGTATATATTGGTATTGGTGTGTATATTAGCATTCTGCTGAATGGTGAATATATTAGTGTAAGTGTATATATTAGTATAAGTGTATTTATTAGTAAACGTGTGTGTATTAGTATACTGCTAATTAGTGTGTCTATTAGTATAGGTCTGTATAAGAGTATACAAAATGGTGTGCTGTGGAAATGACAGGAAGAAGAGATCATGAGTGTTCTTTGAAGTACCTCTAGTACATATTACACTTTATTATTCAAAGACACTTTTGGGCAGTTTTGTGTGTAGACACTGGACATGGTTCTTGACTTGCGTGTAAGGTTCTAAGAAAAACACAGAGCCTTTATTATTATGTGGGGGTTCTTCACACTTGTATCATTAACAAAAACAAAATGGAAGATTTTTAGGGAAAATAAAGGGGTTCTTCTATGGCATTGCTTCAAAGAACGTTTTTTTAAGAATGAACTGTATTTACAGTTTGTATGTATTTTATAACAGACCTTGATACGTTACAGTCAAGGGTAAGATGTAACATATCTATTCATTACTGATACTGACTCTGCCCACACAGAGCACCAACCACAGATACCAACTTTTCTGTATATTATGGCTTATTTAAATACAAGCCTTAAATGTAGATGTTTTGTGCTCTACATCATACTTATGCATATGAAAGGCATTTAAGCTGAGCAGTGTTAAACCGCTTATAAAATGTCCATTTTTCAAATCATGTGAGATGAAATTATCATAATGTAATGATAATGCTGAGCGAGTGCTTCAACGTCAGTCCTATTGGTGATATTGTGTTAGTGAGTGTCTAGTCAAGAGCCTTTGTCAAGACTAGCAAAGTGAAGACTGAGAATACCTACACTCTTTATGCAGTTGCCTCCAGAGAGAACTGTTCATTAAGATACTTACTGAGAATTGAATTGAATGTGCGAAAGCTCATGTAGTAGTTCTAAAGAAGTGTGACTAATCTGAACTGGTGACAGGCTGATAGAAGCTGCTTGTCTGAGAAACGAATCCATCAGGAAAGAGGAAGCAGAATGAGGTCATCACACAGCCGTGATGGTGCCATCATTAAAACCCTGATCAATGGCTTCCCTTATCACAGTCATTACATGTGAATCAGATCATGTGTAGTTCTCAAATTCTTTTATTTCGTTCTCAGAAAGGTGACTAGGCCGCAGCTGCCCCAAAGAATTGAATCATAGCGGGTAATACTTATACATGCATTTTTTCTTTAACTAATTTATGCTATGGTACTGTTGTGTAGAGCAGATTAAACTAGGAAGACAAATTAGGAAGCTCAATTCTCAAAACTTTGTAAAAACGGAAGAATAAAAAAACATTTTTTCTAGATGAATACATTTTTTATATTATTTTCTACAGGAAGACCAGCAATGAAAAAGTGCAACAGGCCAAAACTGTGACACAGGCTGCTGAAGTGGCTTAGTTCTGTAGAATAAGATAAAAATTAAGGGAGCTACTCTCTTTCTTCCTGCATATGACTTGGTAGAAAGCTCAGGATTAATGTGGTTTCATATAATACTGCTCAGTGCAGTTTTTATTTGGCAGGATTGTCAACAGACATTAACCGCAACCACTGGGGATTTCACAACCCTGTTCAGTGGAAATGATCATCATCTAATGGGAATTCCCTACCACAGTAATGAAACTATTGCTGAATGAAAGCCTTTACTACCAACAAACTGAAAAGACCTGTTAAAAGTACAAGAACATGTTCTGAAGAAATTTGATTTAGATGGGTAACTGCTGGGAAGAAGAAAAGCCATACTACAGCACTGATAAAGGACTAGTGGGGATATAGTGTGTAAAGGCCCAATGTTGTTCAAGCACACTGCTGTAGACAGGAGAGAGGACTCAAAGTTACACCAGAGAGAACAGTGCTATTATACTATATAACTTTATATAGTGCTATATAAGTCCTCTACTTGCTGACTTGTTTGGGGAGAAAACACACCAGGAGGCTGAAATTCTCTTTTGTGTCACATTTAATTTGTACATTCAGTGTGTGTAAGAACACCAACATACAGGTCAGTGTGTTATTTTCAGCAAATGTCTCTGGGCATTCAGCAACGTACGTCAATTATTCACAAGTTATTCTGTTTATTTGTAATATTTGAACACAAAAGGTCCTTCAGATTTATTTTTTTGAACCAACATATTCATGGTCACAACATCTGATAACATCGTCACCTTCTCTGTATATTTTGAATCTTTTTTAGCCAATTCAGTAATACTGGCATTAAGATACAAAAGCGCTTTGTACAGTACGGAAAGCTATTGAGAGGTGAGCGGAGGGAGTGTTTTTCAGCTGAAGTTTAACTACAGCACTTGAAGCCTGTATGATGAGAAGCCCTTTTCCTTTCAGCAACCTAACAGTTGGCACCATATCCATTAGATGACTATTTTAAAGTGTAAGAAAAGGTATACCATTGGCCCACTGAAAAGATTTCTGAAACAAGGGAAATCTGAAGATTATACACATAAGCTCTTTGGGGGCTGGGCAGAGGTTGGGGGCAACAGTGTGTGGTGTGTGTATGTTTATAGTTGCATCACGGACAGAGAAGTGTCAGAAGAGTCTGCTGTGAAAAGCCTTGCACACCAGTTGTCAGGCCAGAGCTTCATAAGCCTGAATGTAACCTTTTCTCTAGGTATGCACTAACTATAGAATTTTGTGGCCAATTACCAATTATTTTACTTTTTTGCATTTTCAAACAGGTGCAGAAGGGTAGGAATGGCTAAAGATGCAAGGTGCTAATGCCAGCAGACTCATATTTTTAGGCATCACTGGAATAAGTTTTGAAATGACTCGGTGATGCTGTTAGTCTTTATTGCATTTCCCCTGTTATATTTAAATTCTGTAGTTCTCTTTTAAAACTTCCACATTTACACTCTAAAGGATTAGAGCATGACTTGGCTCAAGCAAAAATGAGGTGCCAATTCATCATCAGCAGTACTTATCGGCTGTAAATAATAGGGCTGATAATAATAATTATATTTTCCCATACTATAACATATCGACCATGATAGGCCTGTCACAATTATTACATAATAATCTGATTGGAATTATCTAAACTGAGTGTAATTATTTGAGCTAATCGCAATTATTTTCCATAGTTGTTAGTTTTCACAATCATATGTTTACGTCAGAACAAACAGAATGTGAACTGGGCGCGTTTTCATTTACTGGGCAAATGCAATGTATGTTAAAAAAAAAGCTGAAAACGCATTTATTGAGATGTCGTGTTTCTTACGAAAACAACAACCTTATAATACCTCGAAATGATGGCAGGAAGTAATGCTTGTTTATTTGAATTGAACTGTGTTGTAAATTGGAAGCTACAAAGTATCGACAGGTAGAATGCAAGATAGCTAATCAGCCAATCTGGCTACTTTAGGCTTGTACATTATTACCTGCATACAATCAACAACAAAAAGACAATTCAACTGTTAATCCCAATTGTTTATATGGCAATTCTTTTTCAGCTAAAATTTCATGATCCTGACAGGCCTAGGCCACGATACATTGTGTAATCCTACCCCTTTTGCGCACAGCACCTTACGCACATCACTGTGGTGAATCTCAAAAACAGGCTTTATGAATTATAGCTATAAGTCTGTTTGCCTACAGTCAGAGAGCCAATTACAGTCTATTAACCCACCCTAATTATATCAAATAGATATCTTACAGTTCTCTTTCAACCTTTTTACTAACACACACCATAGCATAACTATCAGGCCTCCACAAAACATGCCAGTGGTGTTCAGTGCATACAGTACAATATCTAACATCCTCAAAGTACATACACACAGACGCCCTCTCTCCGTATTGTGCAATATTTACAGTGTCATTAAGACCCAGTGAAGAAAACCTGCTTCAAAAGAGCATATGGCGTGCAGCACAGGACTGAGAGAGAAACATATAAAAAGAGGCAACTTGCGTGGTGGAAAAAACAGACATTTGAGCATGAGTACAGTGACATTCAGAGTGAGTTTCTGAGTAGATGGTGACTGGCCTCAGAGCTTTTCCCTTGCAGTTATGATACAGCATCATAATGAAGTTTGTACAAACTGGGTAGTGTATAATGAAAGCATGGCAATTTAACCCATTTTGACCTGAACCTGCAAGGATAAAGAAACATCACTCTAAAGTCATCACTATTCATCTCAAGTTGCACTGAAAAAGAACATTCAGTCAACACTCATTCAGTCAACAGTTTCTGTGTCAGCGTGCTATAGTATGCTTCTAACCAAGGCAGGGGTTATGATACATCCTGACCACTTTATATACCAGCAGAAGAGAAGGGCACCATGAAATCTTTCCCTGATCTCTAATTAAAATAAATAGGCATGTCATCCAGAAG